TATGCGATTCATGTGTATTGCTTTGGCTCTTCTCGGTTTCAAATCGCTCCCGCGAACTGCATCCTGGTTCAACGACGCATTGAAGAAGGAACACACATGGGAATTTTCCTACCGCTCCTGTCTAAATTGAAATTGAAAATCCAACGAGCACGTTGGTTTAAATGAGTCATTGTGGCTACTCAGATTCAGGTGGATTCAGATGGACTGGAACGATAAGAAAATCCCTTGCGTGTTCCTTCTTGAGCAAGTCGTTGTGCCAGGAAACGATAAGGTGCTAGGTCATGATAGATCTAAAAGGAAACACCCGAAACACCCTGGTCAAATTCCTTACTCTCCTTACTGCAGCCAAGGGATACTAAAGAACACTTCCTTCGTCTGACAATCGAATTTTCAGTTAATTGATAAGGAGAACGGCTGGACCTTACCGTGGTGCGATGGTTTGCGTGCCTCAGAGATCCATTGAGCTATGCTGGGTGGTGCTTTTTTTTGCACCTTTAGAGCCACTCATACCAGATTGGTCAATGGTTAGAGGCCAGACAAACTCAGCCTCCTGGTCCTCCAGGTTGGGGGTTGGAATGGGGGTGGCTCCTCATTTCATAAAACGGGCTCTGTAGTCCAGTGCCAAAACCCGCTGCCTTGCGGTAAGGTTTTTGAACCAAAGGCTTTGATTGAGAACCCTACTCGTTCTCCTGTCTAGGCCTGGGCAACCTGACAGTATTCTGCCCACGCAATACAATGAACCTTTCCTACAACAATTTCTTGATGCTCTGGCCGTCGCAGAGGATAATAAACGGCGCCCTATCTGCTGCATCGAGCAGGGTGGATAGGAGTTTGGATGCTACTGCTCAGGCCTTCCCGTCTTCTTATACCCCTTCTTGCGCTTCTGCATCCTTATTGTCCCGCTCCAACTTTACTTATATCCCCCCCATTTTCAATCCCCCAATTCTTGGCCCTCCCCCAGCTTACTTCAATAGTCGCTTGTCTTCTAATTTCAAATCACACACAATCGCAGGGCCTCGCTCCAATCCAGTCGATAAGTCCATGTTCAACCAAGCGGACAACGTCAGTTCATCCGTTTCCCTTTGGAGTCCTCGTGTCTCGCTAAGATTGGCATGCCTCAACGTGCGCACTTTGCTGCAGATTGGCCAACAGGCAGCACTTGCCCGCACACTAGAGACCCTATCGATCGATATTTGCTGTTTATCAGAAACCCGCCTGCAAGATTCGAGCTCCGTGCTTACCCTGAGATCCCCCACATGCGACACTGGCGGCACATTCTCATTGCGCCTATCTGGCGATGATGCAGCTTCAAATGCCGGTCAAGCCGGCGTCGGCATTGTTTTGAGTCCCCGGGCTGAAGCTGCCCTGCTTGATTGGATCCCAGTAAACAGTAGGATGTGCGCCGTTAGATTAGCTGGTTCGTTCCGTGCTTCGAAGTCGCGCGGGGACAAACGGTGCCTGTTTGTCATTGCGGCCTACGCCCCTACAAACTGTAGCACTGATTCGGTAAAAGATGATTTCTACCAGCAACTTCACGAGCTCCTTCGTTCCAGAAGAAGCACGGATACTGTGGTGCTGGCTGGCGATCTAAACGCCCAAGTCGGAAAATTGTCCTCTGATGAGCTTCATCTGGGCGGCCAACATGGTTTAGGCTCTCGTAATGATAATGGTGAGCGATTGCTCCAGCTGTGTGAAGATGCTCGCCTGTTTCTCGCGAGCACTAATTTTCGACACAGCACCCGCAGAAGTGTGACTTGGCGGCCACCAGCCTCGGGCCAGTCATGGACGCAAATCGATCATATCGCGATCAGTTACCGCTGGAGAGGCTGTGTCCAAAACTGTCGCTCGATTTGGAGCACGAGCGTGGACTCTGACCACGCACTTGTCTGTGCCGACCTCCTGATGCGCTTCGGTGGACGTCCGCAACGTCGATGTGAACGGATTGACACTAGCCAGCTGGCGAAGCCAGATGTTCTGAATGTGTACCAAGATGCGCTGACATCTGGGCTGAGTAAGCGCCCATTAAACACCGTTGAAGATCACTGGTCGCACACTCGTCAAGCGTTGCTATTAGCAGGCATGTCTTCATGTGGCAAAACAAATTGCCAAACCGGACATTGGGTCTCTACACAGTCTCTGGAACTTATGGATGCTCGCCGACGTATTCCGGCTGGAAGCGAATACAATGAATCTCGCAAAAATCTCAGGGCGAAACTACGTGCTAGCCTAAAGAAGGACCGCGAAACCTGGTGGTCTCATCGTGCATCTGAGATGGAAACAGCCGCTGCCATTGGTAATCATCGTAAGTTATACCGTCTGATACGGGCAACAGGCAGCAGGAGACCTGGTGTTAGCGAGACCATACGCGACGAGAGTGGGCAGATGATCCACAGCCTGTCAAAACGCTTGGAGCGTTGGGCTGAACACTTTGCTATGCAATTTAACCAACCTGAGTTATCACTTTCTTCGGGCATTGAACGCCCTTCTCCTTGGGCCGTCTCCCTGGATCCGCCCTCACGCGCTGAAGTCGAACGTGAGATCAGGCTGTTGAAATTGCATAAGGCCGCAGGAGCAGATACTATTCCTCCAGCCCTCTTCAAGTTCGGTGGACCTGCTCTAATAGGTGATCTACACGAGTTGCTAGTAAAACTTTGGGAGCAGGAGACAGCCCCGACAGACTGGAACCGCTCCGTCATTGTCCCAATTTTCAAGGGAGGCTCCCGTTTGGTATGTGGCAATCATAGAGGGATCAGTTTGATTTCGATTGCCTCTAAATTGCTTGCCTCTCTCATTCTCCACAGACTGACTGGCACTCGTGAAAGCCAAATTCGTGAAGAGCAAGCCGGATTTCGTCGAGGTCGGGGCTGCATCGACCACATCTTCACACTGCGTCAAGTGTTGGAGCACCGCCATGTTTATTGGCGACCCACCGTTGTCGTGTTTCTTGACATAAAAGGTGCCTTCGACTCAGTCGATCGATGTGCCCTTTGGGACTGTCTGTTGAGGAAAGGTGTGCCTGATAAATATGTAAACATTATCAAAGCGCTGTACGCACATAGTTCGGGCAGGGTGAGGGTTTATGGCAAACTCTCGCCACCCTTCAGTATCACCAGCGGTGTGAGACAAGGATGCCCGCTGTCACCTTTCCTCTTCAACTTCGCTATTGATGAAGTCATGGAAACAGCGTTCGCTGGACACGACCTAGAAGGTGTGGAGCTACTCCCTGGTGAGCGACTTCTTGACTTGGAGTATGCAGACGATATTGCCCTAATCTGTGACAGCTCCCAAACATGCCAAAGAGCACTGAACCGATTAGCACTGGCTGTCAATCGTTTTGGGCTATGCTTTGCTCCATCGAAATGCAAAGTACTTCTCCAAGATTGGCAGGGACCCAATCCTGCGCTAACGCTTGGTGGTGATCTGCTAGAAGTCGTTCAGGAATTCAAGTACCTGGGCAGCTATATTAGCACCCGTGGGATTGAAGATGAGGTTACGAACCGTATAGCAAAAGCTCGAGGTGCTTTTGCCAATCTCCGCCACCTGTGGCGCAGACGCGACATTACTCTCGCCCTCAAGGGCAGAGTTTACAACGCAGCCGTCCGTTCAACTCACCTATATGGCTGTGAAACCTGGCCCATCAGGTCGACAGACATGAAGAGGCTCGTCACGTTCGATCATCGCTGCCTTCGCAGCTTAGCTCATGTCTGGTGGGAACACCGCGTGAGCAATGAGCGTGTTCGACGTCGCGTATTTGGTGCAGGAAGAGCGAGTGAACCGCTCAGCACGATTATATCACGCACCAGGCTCCGATGGCTGGGCCACGTCTTGCGCATGCCAGCACACCGACTCCCACGACGTGCATTGTTTGCGCGTTGTGGGTGCGGTTGGAAGAGGAGGAGGGGAGGCCAAGTGATGACTTGGTCGCGAGAAATGAAAACCCTCACTTCGAAGTTGGCGTCGGTTGGTGCATCCCGACTGCCTGGCTGGGGTCCTAAGGACGGTGAACACGTTTGGCTGGACACACTTGCTGATATGGATAGGAGCCGGCCCCAAGGGCTTTTGTGTTGTGAGTTCCTTTGTCCATCCCCCTCCTGTTTAGCATCCCCCTCCAATCACGATCTCAATCGTTAGGCATAATATGACTTTCTTTTACGGCAGCCAGCTGTTAGCTCTCCGGAATGATGTCCATCCGTTACTGGGGACTCAGCGGGCGTGCCACTGTTTGTTTGTTTTTTCTTTTCTTGCCTTTTGTATTGCGGCACAATAGCTGAGGTGTTTTCCACCTCCAGCTAACGTGTAATGATGATGATGATGATGAGAACGGCTTGCTCAGGCCGAGGAAGACCGTAGCTCATGTTAGACTACCTATTTTCATTCAAACCACGCGCGCGAACACATGCGATTCGGACGGCCTCCGAAGCGGGATCGTTGTGGACTTGATACGATCAAGTTAGCTGCTCAGTCAACTTATTGGACTATCCAATGTCATTGGCAAATACATTGGGTTGTGTTCTGCCCACTCACATTGAACACCGTTGAAAACTCTTGCAGCGAGCGGTGCTGAATTCGGATCAATCGGTAAGTTTCTTATTATCTCGCGAAGGGTTTGTTATCTGAACGCTCCATATCATTGTTCGACCGCGGCTGAACTTTCCCAGTGGACTCGGCGCATAACGAAATTCACCACATTTCCAGCCGGCAACTCGAACGAAGCCTCCGCGATGATGGGGAAGTTTGGTTTTCCCAACCTGCCTTGGAGATGGTGGCTGCCGCTCTCTGGAAATATTCACAGGCTATCCCACTTCATTCAGACCACTGGACGCAGGAGTTCTGGTATCAGCAGAGTCACCTGTGAGGCGGACGGATCCCAACTCACTTATTTGCAAATCGCATGTGCAGTTGGGCTGAGCATTTCCAGTATCAGTTCAATCGCATCTTACCGACCAACTTAGTACCTAGCACATCTGGTCGAATGTCATAGGTATTGTCACTAGAACCAATCACTGAAGCGGGGATTTGTCTTGAGATTTGTCAATTCGCCCCGCGTTCCACCCCCCCCCCCCCCCCCGCCCCCCCCCCCCCCCCGCCCCCCCCCCCCCCCCCCCCCCCCCCCCCCCCCCCCCCCCCCCCCCCCCCCCCCCCCCCCCCGCCCCCCCCCCCCCCCCCCCCCCCCCCCCCCCCCCCCCCCCCCCCCCCCCCGCCCCCCCCCCCCCCCCCCCCCCCCCCCCCCCCCCCTCCCCCCCCCCCCCCCCCCCCCCCCCCCCCCCCCCCCCCCCCCCCCCCCCCCCCCCCCCCCCCCGCCCCCCCCCCCCCCCCCCCCCCCCCGCCCCCCCCCCCCCCCCCCCCCCCCCCCCCCCCCCCCCCCCCCCCCCCCCCCCCCCCCGCCCCCCCCCCCCCCCCCCCCCCCCCCCCCCCCCCCCCCCCCCCCCCCCCCCCCCCGCCCCCCCCCCCCCCCCCGCCCCCCCCCCCCCCCCCCCCCCCCGCCCCCCCCCCCCCCCCCCCCCCCCCCCCCCCCCCCCCCGCCCCCCCCCCGCCCCCCCCCCCCCCCCCCCCCCCCCCCCCCCCCCCGCCCCCCCCCCCCCCCCCCCCCCCCCCCCCCCCCCCCCCCCCCCCCCCCGCCCCCCCCCCCCCCCCCCCCCCCCCCCCCCCCCCCCGCCCCCCCCCCCCCCCCCCCCCCCCCCCCCCCCCGCCCCCCCCCCCCCCCCCCCCCCGCCCCCCCCCCCCCCCCCCCCCTCCCCGCCCCCCCCCCCCCCCCCCCCCCCCCCCCCCCCCCCCCCCCCCCCCCCCCCCGCCCCCCCCCCCCCCCCCCCCCCCCCCCCGCCCCCCCCCCCCCCCCCCCCCCCCCCCCCGCCCCCCCCCCCCCCCCCCCCCCCCCCCCCCCCCCCCCCCCCCCCCCCCGCCCCCCCCCCCCCCCCCCCCCCCCCCCCCCCCCCCCCCCCCCCCCCCCCCCCCCCCCCCCCCCCCCGCCCCCCCCCCCCCCCCCCCCCCCCCCCCCCCCCCGCCCCCCCCCCCCCCCCCCCCCCCCGCCCCCCCCCCCCCCCCCCCCCCCCCCCCCCCCCCCCCCCCCCCCCCCCCCCCCCCCCCCCCCGCCCCCCCCCCCCCCGCCCCCCCCCCCCCCCCCTCCCACCACCCCCCCCCCCCCCTCCCCCCCCCCCCCCCCCCCCGCCCCCCCCCCCCCCCCCCCCCCCCCCCCCCCCCCCCCCCCGCCCCCCCCCCCCCCCCCCCCCCCCCCCCCCGCCCCCCCCCCCCCCCCCCCCCCCCCCCCGCCCCCCCCCCCCCCCCCCCCCCCCCCCCCCCCCCCCCCGCCCCCCCCCCCCCCCCCCCCCCCCCCCCCCCCCCCCCCCCCCCCCCCCCCCCCCCCCCCCCCCCCCCCGCCCCCCCCCCCCCCCCCCCCCCCCCCCCCCCCCCCCCCCCCCCCCCCCCCCCCCCCCCCCCCCCCCCCCCCCCCCCCCCCCCCCCCCCCCCGCCCCCCCCCGCCCCCCCCCCCCCCCCCCCCCCCCCCCCCCCCCCCCCCCCCCCCCCCCCCCCCCCCCCCCCCCCCCCCCCCCCCCCCCGCCCCCCCCCCCCCCCCCCCCCCCCCCCCCCCCCCGCCCCCCCCCCCCCCCCCCCGCCCCCCCCCCCCCCCCCCCCCCCCCCGCCCCCCCCCCCCCCCCCCCCCCCCCCCCCCCCCCCCCCCCCCCCCCGCCCCCCCCCCCCCCCCGCCCCCCCCCCCCCCCCCCCCCCCCCCCCCCCCCCCCCGCCCCCCCCCGCCCCCCCCCCCCCCGCCCCCCCCCCCCCCCCCCCCCCCCCCCCCCCCCCCCCCCCCCCCCCCCCGCCCCCCCCCCCCCCCCCCCCCCCCCCCCCGCCCCCCCCCCCCCCCCCCCCCCCCCCCCCCCCCCCCCCCGCCCCCCCCCCCCCCCCCCCCCCCCCCCCCCCCCGCCCCCCCCCCCCCCCCCCCCCCCCCCCCCCCCCCCCCCCCCCCCCCCCCCCCCCCCCCCCCCCGCCCCCCCCCCGCCCCCCCCCCCCCCCCCCCCCCCCCCCCCCCCCCCCCCCCCCCCCCCCCCCCCCCCCCCCCCCCCCCCCCCCCCCCCCCCCCCCCCCCCCCCGCCCCCCCCCCCCCCCCCCCCCCCCCCCCGCCCCCCCCCCCCCCCCCCCCCCCCCGCCCCCCCCCCCCCCCCCCCCCCCGCCCCCCCCCCCCCCCCCCCCGCCCCCCCCCCCCCCCCCCCCCCCCCCCCCCCCCCCCCCCCCCCCCCCCCCCCCCCCCCCCGCCCCCCCCCCCCCCCCCCCCCCCCCCCCCCCCCCCCCCCCCCCCGCCCCCCCCCCCCCCCGCCCCCCCCCCCCCCCCCCCCCCCCCCCCCCCCCCCCCCCCCCCCCCCCCCCCCCCCCCCCCCCCCCCCCCCCCCCCCCCCCCCCCCCCCCCCCCCCCCCCCCCCCCCCCCCCCCCCCCCGCCCTCCAT